ACTTGGAGAAAGGTAGAATTATAGCCAACTTAAAAAAAAAAAAAAAAAAAAAGCTTAACATATGACAGCGACTCAGCTGGAACCCTGGAACACATACTGCACGCATCTTTGATCTTCCGCATCACATTAAGTAACAAAGACCAGAGGACTTCAGATATGTACTAGATAGACTGCGTTTGATCACAGTAAAATGCTTCGCCCCATTCCAGACTATGGATTGCATCATTGATTTTTCTTCCCCCCCCACCTTGAAAGAAGGGATTCTTTTAAGTATGTCTGATTCTTTTAATTAGATCATTACTGCTATTGTAATGTTTACTCCAGTATAATCTCTTATGAATAGCATGGGGCTTTTTAACAGTAGATGTTACACTGCCCCTGATATCATTTGGGAAAATACACTCAAATAGTTAAGTCTGCATAATAAATATGTCTGCTTTCTCTTTCTCTCTTTCTCTCTCTCTCTCTCTCTCTCACCCGTGCACACGCGCGCATACCCGCGGTCTTTGAAATCACTTTTGAAAAATACCACCGTTTCTTGCTACTTAGGAAATAAGCTACTGTGTGAGTGAACACACATACTGTATTATGCATGTAAATGCATGCGATCCACAGAGAAACTTGGGGCAGAGCGTCTGTGTTTGAAAACATAGGAAAGTTTTGAGTGCAATAATCTGAAAGATGTGAAGGGAAATACTTGATCCCGATCTATCAAGCAGAATCTCCTAGAATTCTCTTTCTCTTGCCAAGGGTCTTACTTTCTTTTCCTTTCTTCTTCTTCTTCTTTTTTTCTTTTACTGTTACCATTCATCTATTTATCTGTAATTCCCTTCTTGTTTTTCTTTTTTTTCTCTATGCATTCTTAACCTCAGTTTTATGAAGCCGGTCAGTTGGCAGCCCAGTGATAGAGATGGAGTACTTTGTAAATGTCCACAAAACACATCGGGGAGTGCTTCATACATGCTGAGTCTCTGTGCATGTAAGTGCAACTTAAGACAATGGATTTATTTGTGAGAGCAACTGAACCTTAAAGACATCGTGGCCACCGATTTCAAATTAATAATTATTAAAGGAAGTAAATATATTAAAGGATAATTTCCAAAGACAATAATTAGTATAATAGATCTCTTCAAATAGCCATCTTTATGATGTGAGTAATGGTAGAAAACATGGTTTATTTGTTTCTAATGAAGGACAGCATAATTTTATTCCGGAAACTTAAGCACTTAGGTTCAGGCAACTGGACAAGTATGAAAGAGGCTGTTCTTAGTGTGTGTAATGTAACTTCTATGGCACTGCCTCTTAAAGTATGTTAAATAATAAATAACTTATTAAAACATGTTCAATGTAATAATGGCCTTTTTCATGAATTGTTGTAAAAGAGAGATTAGAAAAGTAGAGGAAGCAGTCTTCAGGGGAAAATAACGGGAATTTCTAGCAGTAGAGTTGTGTAATGGTTCTATATTTTTTAAATGTGCCTGTACTCCATTCATAGTCATTTAAGTGCTTAAATAAGCACAATAAATGTAAATAATTTACTGCTTTGCAAACAGAAAATTGGGCAGAAAAGTAATTTTGAATAGCAAGTTGGCTTGCAATCTTCGATGATTTGGGACCCTGTAAAATGCAACTGACACGGCTGTTCATTAAGCCTGCTGTTATTGAGCCTTCTTCACATTCATTAGCGATTAATTCAGACAGATATTTAACTTAATAAGGTAAGCAAATAAACAAAAAATCACTTTCTGTGCCTTAAGGTTTTTAGACCTCTAATTGCTTTTGTGCCCTAATTATCAAGATTAACACCTTATACTGTTCTCACTCCGTTTTGCCTTGGAAAAAAAAAATACCCACTAGGGTATTTTGAAATCTTTTAAGTGGAAAATGGGAAAGGGTTAAGGATTTTCCCTCCTAAGACAAAATGACCACCCACCAAAACAAGAGACTGCGGTTAAGTTGTGCGTGGATTTTTTCAAACGTTAGCTGAGCGGAGAAGCCACACACGTCTCTGCTGAGAGAATAGAGCTTGAGTGGAATTCTAAGCCAGGAGACGCTTCTGTCGCATGGATAAATCAGACTTTGAGAAGGAGAGGTGGTCTGTGCTTCGGCTTCGCTTGTCTTGTCTCCAGCGGCGTTTGCGAAGCAGCATTAATCAAAGATTCGCCGTGTGGCTGTTGTATTTAAAAGTTTGCATTAACTTAAGGTCATATGTAGTTGTCAACACTTTGTAATTAGTGACAAACCACTTGCAGGTCCTTTAATATTTACTGTAATAATATTATTCATAATGGAGTCATTCGGAATTCATGTGGATATAATATGTAATTCCATTGTAATTTAGCATTAATTAATGTCCACTTATTGCAGCATATTATAGTATAGGAAACAATTTCTGATAAGAGACACCAGTGTAATTTAAGGATGAATCTGATCGTAATTTGAATAATGATATACATTGCTTCATGTCTCGATGCCTCTGTCTCCACCTCTTTTCTCTTGCACGCACGTGAGCCTGGAGGACTCTGATACCACGTACACGCGCAGGCACACCCACAGGGTCATTGTGTGTGTGGAGCCGAATAGGTATTTGTAAAGCAACATTAGTTTAAAGCACTTGGAATTCCTTCCTAGATCTCACTTGTGAATGTTAAAGTTTGTCGCTGTCAGAGCTTGAAATTACCATTTCAATACAAATTGCCAACTCAGTACCCCTCTCAAAAAAGAAACAGATTGTTGTAAAACAGTTATCCTTTATTATAGAGGCAACTAGTTTTAGCTGACAACTCCAAAAGGACTTTCAAAATAAAAGCAAATATCATTTTATTCATTTACCCCTCGCTCTCTTTCTACATCTATCTAACTAGATACAGATATCTTTCAATATCTTTTGCCTGCCTACTTGTCTAGGAAAGAAGTTAAAACTGACCATCCTGCAAATGACCATCTTGGAAACCTAAGTCGTGAGAGGTGCTGAAGTTAGAATTGGTCGGCTGGCTTCGAGACGCAGGCTGACTGCTGTGCTCCTGAAATAACTCTTCAGCCTTCAGATTCCTAATTGCTATTTGCTGGTCTTGTGAGAAGTCGTGAAGCCCCACCACTATTCTCACTTGAACTTGATACCATATTTCACTCGTTCTTGTAGCATTAGGGGATTTAAAACCTCCTTTTCCTTTAATTCTTTTCTTTCTTTAATGGGTGACTGGATAAATTCAGTGGTGGATTTTTGTGACACTAAAACAGCAGATAAGTCTATGATGCACTCTTGCTATGTGGTTTAAAAATCCCTCACCATATGTTTTCTCACTGGAATGCCTCGTCTTGCAAAATTACAGGAACCGAAGCTTAAAAACACAATTAGGTAGTTTAAAATGAAGTATTAAAGAAATACCACATATATTCAGCTGCCTGCAATGTTTTCTTCCTCTCTCCTTTTTTTTGGGTTTTGTTTTGTTCTTGGAGTATTCAAAAAGCCTCCACTGTATTTGATTTTTATACTAATCATGCCCCATATTTTTTGGATTATGTTATATAGGCTGTGGTTAAATTATAAATGAAAGAGTGAACTACCAGACTTCTTGTCATAACAGCAGCTTTTATGTTGTTACAGAAAATGCAAAAAAAAAAAAAAAAGTGTTTTGCGATGAAGGGTCCCCTCGCTTATTTTGTGCTGCTTAACGTATAGAGGCAGACAAGCAAAGCAATTTGTAGATATGTTTTTTGCAGTATTTTGAAAATTACAGCACCCTCTCCATCCTCTGAGGGGAAAATGAAAGAAAACTAAATACACAATGCATAAATATAGCTGTATCTTAACAGCTCTCTTCGCTTTCTGGTGCTTTATTCATTCCTTCTTATGAAACACACACACACACACACACACACACACACACACACAAGCATGCATGCAAACAGATTCTACTTCAAGTTCAATTTCTTTCCAAGTTCTATTCCAAATCAACTATTTCGGGTGGCAGTGACCTGAAAACCATCTTCATAATTCCAAGTTCTCTCTTCAGTTGTTTAGAAAGAAGGAAAAGGCATCAAAAAGCCTGCAGGACCAGCGTATTAAAGAAGGAATCAAGTAACGGCTTGTAATCTCTGTTCATTTTTTGTTTTCCTATTAAACTTATTTCAAATTCACTATACATGAAAACACAGTAAAAAATTTTATAGACGTCTTGGATCACCCTGCTCAAAGCACTTGACTGAACGGCCACTTTATATCTTGATCCTACAGGGCTGGAGTTTTAAGATATAATTTATACTCAGCAAATTGATGAAATATTTAGTTTATAGGCTGTGGCATTTTAGGTCCATTGTAACTGCATCACTTAAAAGACCTTGCTATGGTGCAGGCACGAAGAATAATTTTCTGCGTTAAATCTACTGCCATGCTTAAGCATTTTGTTAATTTGTCCCCGAACTTTTGCCAACTGGAACGGGGGTAAGAGGTCAGGCACACCCGAAAGGTTTATCTTTTTGCATGAAGTCATTCATTGGGTTCTTTTTCTAATGGAAGGCGAGGTCTCACTGCTGGAGTAACTCAGATGCTTTCCATGAAGAGCAGATACTATGCAAAAATCAATAGCTTAGCTTATGCCCTTCATTTGTAGATAAGTGTATTCTTGAATGTCTGAAAGAATATTTGATGTGGAACTTAAAACAGTGCTGGAAAAATATCTTTGCCTTAATTGCCTTTCATTCTGCAGTGATGCGAGTCACTTCGCCAAGGAAGCAGGGATTGAGGGAACACAAACAACTGTCTCCTTTATGCTGTGTGCCGGTGGGCTCAGCTTTTTTGCTCCCCCGTAACCAGCCTTGAGGACTTTTTTTTTTTTTTTTTTTGGCTTCGTTGGATGAACTGTCTTCCTGAGATAACAAATCTTCTTTTGCAAGCACTTGGCGGAGTTTGGTTAGGGGCTACCTCTGAGCTACATGAACTTGGCCTTGCTGGTGTCTCACACTAATACCTTCACTCCTGTTAGGAATCTTTGGCTTTGTTGGATGAACTGTCTTCCTGAGATAACAAATCTTCTTTTGCAAGCACTTGGCGGAGTTTGGTTAGGGGCTACCTCTGAGCTACATGAACTTGGCCTTGCTGGTGTCTCACACTAATACCTTCACTCCTGTTAGGAATCAGGGTACTCGAGAAACAGCCTGAAGCCATACAGCTGATGATTTCACCAAATTTGCATCTTTTCAACAGTAATGGGGATGGCTTCCACAAATGCTCCCAGGCTCTAAATAGATGTTAAGTGGTTGTTTCTAGTTCCTTCCCTCTCTGCTCCCTGGAGAACCACTTCCCAACCCACCCACTCTGAGCATCATGCAGAGCCGGCTGGCAGCCGAGGCCTGCCCTGGCCTAGCAGCCTGTCCCTGAGGCCATAGTCCCTGTCACTGGGCTGACACCTGAACTGGGTCTTTCTGGGAAGCCCAGGCTCCAAGGCTGGGTTGCCCCTTCCTGGCCTTAACCCCTGGCCATAGCAAGAGGAGCCATCTGAGTCCTTGGTGCTGGGCTGCTACATATTCCAGGCCTGTGGGGTGTCTTCCACCACAGGATATCCACCCTCTGCATCTGGGAACCATAGGAAGACCTGCCGAGAAGGGCTTGAAGAGAGATGGGGTGGAGAACATGCTGTGAGTGGGGAGGTGGGGTGCTGGCAGTCTCTGGCATGCCATGCGTGGCAGCAAAGGGGGAGGGACAGGAATAAGCCCAGCTCTTAGGGAGATGGCATCCTTCTAGGAGATGTTGCTCAAGACCAGGCATCCTTTCCTGACCGATAGCTGGAATGTGCAAAGTGAGTTGTCGAGGAGAAAGTATTATTTTAATGTGGTTTTGATTAAGTATAGGATAAAGATTTGTGTTCTGAAAAGGCACCAGATGTTTGTCCTAATTTTTAAATGCCCTTTGCCAGCCCCATGGCCGGCCTGTTCTGCCAAACTGAGTGGGTTTCCAGAGGGTCAGACCCATTAGGCTTTGCATGTGGCTAGGATTTGTCAAGGTGACAGACTGGCAACTGTCAGCCCCTGGAGGCTCCTGGGTGGCCTTTTTAGGAAAGAATGTCCTGGTGAGCTCAAGTCTACTTTCTTTTGTTGCTTGGTCTCTAGACTGGGAAAGTTCCATGTTCAGGAGTAACCTCCGACCTCTCCATCGTCCCTGTCTGGAGGGATCCCTGCATTGGTGGATTTGGGCAGATCCAAGGGCACCTACCTCCTTGGTTTTCTCTCTCTAGTTCTGTTGAGCTTCTTGAGGAACCTGCAAGGCTGGGGGCCCACTTCAGCATCTACCAGCTCTGTGTGGTGCAGGGGCCCGCTTCAGCACCTGTCGGCTCTGTGGGGTGAGATAAAGGTTACAACTGAGTCCCTCCAGCAGGCATGTTCAGGCTCTAGGTTGCCCATCACTGGAACCGTAACTATTCTGTGAATGTTCTTTCGTCTTGCTAGCCAGAGGGCACTCTCCGAGAGCACTGTTTTTATAGGACGCTCACATGCAGGTGTGCAGATCTCAACTTGTCAGTCTTCGTATGGTGGAAAGGCACAGAAACTTCTTTCCAAGTCATGCCTGGAAAAGTACATTGTTTATTGACATAAACTATACCTCTTGACTTTCTTTCCTTTAAAATAATGCCCTGGTGTACAAATCCCTCAACTCTATCATGGATTAAAACTATAGTATTCTTAATTTTCCTATACAGAATTCTTGCAAAATCTGTTATTTCAAAATACAACTTTTTCTATATTTAGTATATGCAAATACTGTGCTTCAGGTTTTAAAATCTGCTAAATAAAATTGTACTGTTTTCCCTCTTCTTGTCCATCAAGGTCCAAAGCAAGGATAGGAGGCAACCCAGTCAAAAGAATTTCCAAATGAAAAAATGGAATCAATGTTTTAAAACGATTTCATATTTATTTGATGGTGATACAAACCTAATATAGGATACCCTGGAACGAAGGACTGGATCTGATGTTTCTCTCTGGAAGTCACATCTTATTTTACATGCTTTATCTCATTATCATAGACAAGAAGAAAAATGGGAAGAACAACTCTAATGGAACCTATTTCCTGGTTGAAACAACTGAGGGGCAAAGCGAGGAGAAAACCAGGGAAGACAGAAGAGTCCAGTAAAACCCAATCCTGTGGAGTACTGAGCCTGGCCAGCCTGCTGCTGTGCCCACCCTGTAAGGGGAACTGGAAAGAGCAAGAAGGAGCAGGAGTCTGGTGTGTGCTCACAGGTGTCTTTTACAATAGAGACAGTGGCGGTACTGTCATCAGAACACACAGAACCCATTACCCTGGCTCCACCGGCTATGTTGGAATCTTGGATTTGTCTGGTCTCACCACCTAGTTTATTAGGCATTAAGAAGTTCATTTCTTTTCTTAACCATAAATAGGAAGTGATTGCTAATGAATACTTTCATCAGGAAACTGAAAACAAAACAAAACAAAATAAAACAAAACAAAAAAACAAAAGCAAAAACACCCTGACTGCTCTGGACCAGTCCTCCCTGGGGCCCTTCGCTGTCTGTGCTTCTTCACCTGTCTTTGGTTGACTCCACAATCATCCCCCTTCGATCACCTTGAATAACATATTATGCACAAAATTTAATAGCTTCAGGACAGTTCCTTTCATATGTGCCTTGAAATTCTTCTTTCATTTTATGTGTCAGTATATTTCCTTAAAAGCCATGTCAGCAGAAACGAACTATTTTGCTGTTAATAATGAGGTAAGCTTATTAGTTACTTTCCTAATTAGAAAATAGATTTTATTTAACATATAAATACTGAAAATGTCCTTGGCTTTAGAAAATAGATTTTATTTAACTAACGTAAAAGGATTAAAAGGTCTTTGGTTTAGTTCATTTAAGGACTAGTCATATGTATTTTTAAAATGTAAACCATGTATTTGAATCTGTGTTTTCCTTCTTTATGCTTCTGTGAAATATGTATTAATACATTAAGCCTTTACAGGATAGACACCTATCAGTTCAATTCTGTTTATCTGTCTGTGTGCTTAGCTGTAATGGGACAAAAATACCATTGTACCAGAAAACTCTCAGTGTTCCCAAAGACCTGCTAGAAATTTTATTTTTTCAGATGTGCCCCCCAATTCTTATCCCAGTTGTAGTTTTTGGCTTACACTTCACCACCACCGTTTAACTTCTCTGGGAACCCCATTACTTTTGTACACACTCACGCTCTGACCTGTGCTACTCGGAAATTTTCGAGATGAAGTCATTGCTGGTTTGAGTTACTGAAGAGACGTTAATTCATCCAGCTGGGCTGGCTCAACGGCGGTCCAGCATTCTGCCCTGACAGCCACCCTCAGTGAGAAATTGGATGGTAAGGAAGGGGTGTTGGAAAGGGACTGGGGAAGTGAATGCTGTGGAAACGGTTGATGTGAATGTGACCACAAAGAACGCGATAAAATCATCAGCCTGGCAAGGTCTTTGTGCAAAATGCCTTTTATCAAAGCTAGAATTTTGATGAAAAATATCCCAGGAGGTGATCATTTACTGTATTATCAAATGAACAATGAGATATGCATTCGTATGTTCCCACATATATACATATATGTTTTAAGTGCCTGTTACTATGAGATCTGTAAGGCATTCCCTTTGTTAAAACAGAGTGGCCTGCATATGTATGCTACATTGTTCAAGCACGGGACTCCACACACCCTCAAATTGGTGTAGCGCTGCATACTTTATGAAGTAGTTTCTGTGCGCGAATCCACAGCAGCCCCATGGCCTGTACCCAAGAGGAGGTGAGGGGTGGGGAAGAGGAGGAGATGTGGCCCCTCCCTGCCCCCAGGTTATAACGTGCCCATGACCCGCACACTTTACAACATAACATCCAGATGTCCAAAAACATTTTTTGTTAACTCTATGAAATTTGATAGAACGTGAAATGCGATAGTACATGAACTCTGTAGCATAAATTGTAAAACAGAGCCCCAAGTTCTATATGTAAAAATGCAGCAGGTTTCCCTGAAGGTTGCAACCCCCAACAAAAACCGAAGGGAGTCTCATGTGGTATGAGCCATGACCACCTCCTGGACCCTCCTCTCTTTTTCTCTAACGCCCTTCCCGGGAGGTGCCTTTCATCCAAAAACTTCATCAAGAGACATTTATTATTTTTTGCTATGGAAATTGAGATTCCTGGTGACTTGTTCATGGACACAGAATTCGTAAATGGCAGAAATTGCTCTCCAATTAATGTATTCTGTTCTCTCTCTTTTTTTTTTTTTGGAGAGGTTTTCGCCGCGCTCGCCAGAGTCAGAGAGAGAGAGAGAGAGAGAGACATAGAGACAGAAAGCGAGAAATCACCCCCCAGGGGGGATGTGGTCACGCCGCAATCCCTTCTCCTCCATTCTCCTCTCAGGATCCTGGGCACGCACGCAAACGCGCCCAAGTTTTAAGCCACCAGGTCCAGGACGCGAATCGTGGTCGACTACGTGGGAGTCCAGCGACATAGCCATTACGCTAACTGCTGGTTCCCGATGTGTTCTGTTCTCTTAAGTGCTTTTCTACTACATGACAGGAGGTAGAGTCCCCACAGCCCACACCTGTCCAGCCTCACCAGAATTCACTACCCACTGCATTAGGACGGGGAAGAGGTAGGAGGTGGAGGGTTATTTATTTCCCTGCTATGTCCCCGCAAGTTGGGAGCTAGTGGAGGACAGGTCTAAGTTTATTTCATCTCTGTTTGTCTCATACCAGCAGTTAAGCTGATTTGGGCTGAAAAACTGCCAATGTTTGTACTGTGTAAAGGTTACAAATCTGGTGAATGCTGAAGTTTGGGTACTGTCATAGGAGTTTCTTGCATGAAATGCAGGAAGAGTGACTCAGAGGAGGAAGGAGAATTCTGAGCTTTAGTGTCTCTTGCACTGTTATTTGATGATAAGATAGATACATCAGGATCCAGAGCAGCCAGAAGGAGCATTTTTCTTCCTCATTCTTCCCTGGGATTGGGCAAGTGTTCCAGAGTCCAGCTAATGCTTAGATTGAAGTGACCACCAGAAAGCACAAGCTTCACTTCAGTTTGTGTTGTAGTTTCCTCACCAGGAACAGAAGACAGTTAAACTAAGGGAACCTTTTTCAGTCCAGTGCCCTCTGATTTATACGCTGTTAGTGAAATAAATGGATAGTGTTTGCTGCGAGTATAACACTATCAGTGCTGATGGAACTTTTTCTTTCTCTGTTGACATTAAAAATGGCTTTAAAAATAATATAATGGTAGTACATGTTGATCTTAGAATTTTTTAAAAAAGCAGAATTTTATTTAAAAAAAATTTCAATTGGCTATAAACTCACCCTTTCTTGTTAACGTTTTGTTTTTTAGCTATACTTTTAATATATTGATACTGTTCTGTACTTAAAATTTCTTATGCTTTTTTCAGTTACTATTTTTGCATAATCCTTTCCTTGCTTTGCATAAAAAAATCTTTGTGAACATTCTTTATAAATAGCAAATCCTCCTTCACATGGATTTGTCTTAATTTATTAAATTGATTATCATTGGGTATTGTGGGGTTTATTCTTTGCTATTCAATACAACCCACTCTCGAAATGCTTTATGTAGAAAGCTTGTTCCTTACTTTTTAATTGGGATAGATTTCAAAAAGGAGAATTTCTGAAGCAAGGGATGTGGAAGCATTGCTTCCCAAAAGAATTTGCCTGATTCACGCTCACCAACAGCCTGGTAGAAAGCAAGGCTCATAGTCAGTGTGGAGAATTTCTTCTCTTTTCTTACCTCTCAAAAATATCAGATATTTGAAAATAATATTTGTTGTTTTATTTCAAATATTTTTAGTAGTCATGGCATCAGACATTTATTTTTAAATTTTTTTTAAGAATTATCTTATTCAACTTTATTTATTTATTTATTCCAATTTGAGGAGAAAGAGAGCGAGAGCAAGTGAGAAAGCAAGCCTCCAGGTCTGGGACTCGAACCACAGTCAGCCATGTGAGAGTCCAACACCCTTAATCTCCATGCCACCTGCCTGCCCCCAGACATTTATTTTTGAGTGTTTATGAATCATTCATTTTCTTCTAAGACTTGGTGTACAGGCTCATGTTTCATAATACAATTTGCAAAATTGGTCTCATGGTCAACTGGTATAAGTTAGTAGAGTTACAAAGGTTCTCACTTGAAAAACCTACAGAAGTAAAGAATTAAGCAAAGATTTCTTTCCTTCTTTTTGTTTCCACTAAATTGCTTCCATCTCTTTTGCTTTTGAAAAAGGCTATTAAGAATGCACCATCACCCTTATGATTCTATGGCAGAATAAAGGGAAACAATATCATTCAGTTTTACCAAACAATTTTTCCATTTTCCCCAGTGGGATAGCCTAATTATTGCCATTTATATGTTAACATCATTAACTACTTCATTGCCAAGCTGCATTGAGATAATATTCTGAACTTCAGTTACTTACAAAATCTTATGCTCTACTACTTAAAAAGGATATATCAAGGAGTAAAATGTAAAGTTTGAGCTGCGAGGGTTGTTATTTGAAGAATTAAGACACTTCTGAGGATGTGGAAAAATAAAGGTGAAAG